CAGGGACACCACTCCTACTCCCTGGCTAATACCACTCCATGGACCCAGCCTTCATGACTTGATCTCACTTCCCTTTAAACTCTGTTCTAGTTCTAGCCTTCACAGCCTCCTGCAGCAAGGAGTTCCACAGGTTGACTCTTTGCTTTGTGAAGAAGAACTTTCTGTTACTAGTTTGAAGCCTGCTCCCCATTCCTTTCCTTTGGTGTCCTCTAGTCCTTCTTTATGGGAGCTAATGAAGAACTTTTCTGTATGCACCCTCTCCACCCCACTCATGCTTTTATAGACCTCTATCCTGTCCCCCCTCCATCTTCTCTTTTCTAAGCTGAAAAGTCCCAGTCTCTTTAGCCTCTCTTCATATGGGACCTGTTCCCAACCCCTGATCATTTTAGTTGCCCTCCCCTCTCCCAGCCTCTCTCTTCCCCTCTCCCACCTCCTTTTCCCAGTCTCCCCCAGTTTTGTTCAATGAAGACAGATTCCATTTTTGAACACAATTGTCCTTTATTTTGTACATCAAGAAGAGGGGCTAGGGAAGGGTAAGTGGAAGGAGGTGAGGGAGGAATGGGGTACGCGCCCCCGATGGGGAGGACTGGGCTGGCTCTGCGGGCTTCTGGGGGTGGAAGCTCTCCTGCAGCCCCCCAATTTCCCCCTTTCCCCAGATGGCAGGCTGTGGCAAGTGCAGCCGGTCTGATGACCAAGTGCTGTGATGTGCCCAGTGTGGGTACTCTGGGCAATCCAAGCCAGGACTGCTTTGCAAGCGGGGCACCCTGAGAACTGTCTGTCTGGGGTGGGGGTCGGGACCCTTTAAGCACAGCCCTTGGCTAGCCTGAGACAGCATCTCCACGCTCTAAGTCCTCCTCTGATGCCCTGCCGGCACTGCTTCCGGCCATCCTTAAGCCTGATTCAGGGTCCACTTAATGTGGCCGCGCTAGTTGAATTAGCAAAACGCTAATTCGAACTAGTTTTTAGTTCTAGATGCGTTAGTTCGAATTAGCTTAGTTCGAATTAACTAATTCGAACTAAGTTAGTTCGAATTAAGTTAGTTCGAATTAGCGCTGTGGTGTAGACGGACCCTTAGTTTTGTATCAACAGTGGAAAGTGACCACCTTGCATCACCTTTGCTTACTCCTCTTCCCCCTCTCCTCTCCGGCCCTCTCCCTGTACCAAAATCTAAAATGGCAGCCCTATAATCCATCCTTCTCTATCTCCCTAGGATTCTTTTTTACAGCTTCCTTGGTCCGTCCTGTTACCTGGAGCCTCCGTGTTGCTCCTTTGCTATCCTGGCATGCTCTGCTAGTTGGAAATAGTCAATAGCTTCACCTCCTGGCTCCGAGCCCCAAAGTATATTTACCCTATTTTGCTGTCCAGATCCCAGCCCATACTCATTCCTTTTCCCTAACCTCCCAAACCCATCTCTGCTACTTGGCTCTATTGGGGGATGCAGAGAAATCCTTGTGGCAGGTAAGAAGAAACCATCAGGTGACTTAGGCCATCCCTGCATGCCTCATTTTTCGGTTTAGAAGAATATGGTCACCCTGGTTATGGCTCCCCGGTTCCCTGCTTCAGCCTAATTTAACCTAGGCTACACTAACTTGCTGTCCAGCATGCATGAGATCATACATCAGATGGCAAATGCAGGATATACCCTCATTCTCCCTCACACTCATGAGTGGATCTGGTTTCAAGTGGGGAGATCATTAAGAGCAGATTAGACAGCAGCCCTCTCCCTGCCTTCTCTCTTCCCTTGCTTTGCCTCTTCCCTTCCCTGAGCAATATGATCAGAAGAGCAGTGAGCTAGAGCTGCATTGCTTTGATTTCGCTGCTGCTTCCAGTGAATGAGGGGAGCTGCACCCTTGCTGTGGGTGGTGCTAGGTACTTCTGCTAGTGCTCCTGCCGGCTGCTGGCTAACCCCTTGCCCCTTTCACTGATGGCATTCAGGCACATGACCCCTCATGCCCCTCCACGCAGTGTCCCTGTAGCCATGAATGTTAGAAGGTGCTTGGTTCTTCCATAAGGGCAGGGCACTGGACTTGAAGACTTCTTTAGGTTTCTTCCAGTTTTATGATTCTATATCTGAGACCTCACAAACTTTGCCATGCAGAGAGGTTAAATGTCTTGTCCAAAGGTACACAGGATGTCTATGGGAGAGCTAGGAATAAAATCAGATCTCCTGACTTCAAATCTATAGGTTTTACAACTGAAACATCCCATAATACCATGCAATTTTCACAAAAGCCATGTTTTGATGAAAACTTAGTAAATTATTCAAATTTCCATATCTTAAAATACTTCAGGCCATCCTAAAGTACGTGTAGCTGAAAAGCCTTTCTACAGTGAAGGTTCACACATCATTTCTGTCTCTCTAATGCAGTTTCTGCATTAGAGTTAACAATATTTCAATATTTCTGGAGTATTTAGCATTTTTCACTGTACTGATTACAATCTGTTGTAGATGATAATTATTCTGGTTTTATCACTCAAACACTCAAGTGATTTTTAAAACTTCAAGTGGCTCATATCAGATTTGTATTTCTCAAAGGATTTGAAAGTCTGCTTAGATTAGGCCCTTCTGTCAAATTAGCTGTAAATACTAAATCAATGCAAAATGAGTAGATTCTTATTTCTAAAAATAACCTCTTTCACAGGAAGAAGAACTAAGGAAAAGTGGGGAAGCCAAATATGCACACTTGAGTGACGAGCTTCATGTTCTAATTGAAGTATTTGCTCCACCTGGGGAAGCTTATTCACGTATGAGTCATGCCTTGGAAGAGATTAAAAAATTCCTTGTTCCAGTAAGTGTCTCATATTTGTTTTCTAATTGTCTCTAATTCTGCTACATTGAACTCACTCATTCTTGAAGATCCGACATGGTTCAGGAAACAATCTGACCTGCTGAAGATTCATCTTTTGAGATGCCAATCAATCCATTAATTGTTCCTTAAGTATCTTCTGTGTGGGCTTTTTCATGGCCATAGATCATGGACATCAGTGAAGAAATATGCTTCTGAAATACTTGAATATTGTATATTTATACTGGCATTGTTAGCATGTGATATATTTTATATGAATATTTTTCTACAACAGAATCTGAATTTACATGCCAAACTAAAAACACAAAATAATATATTCAGCAGAGTTTACATTAATAATTCTGAACAATTCCAATAATACTGCTATTTAGAAGACTAATTTTACTTCATGCTCAAATTTAGTAAACCATCTCTGTTCAGGAAAGCATGCCTGTATGTGTTTAAGTTCTTTCTGAAACAGGGTCCTGAAACTTCCAGAATATATATCTTCCCCAATCACTTTTCTAAACTGACCAGTTCCAATCTTTTTAATCTCATCTCATCTCATATAGAAGCTATTCCATACCTTTAATGACTTTTGTTGTCTTTCTCTGTGCCTATTCCAATTCTAATGAATCTTTTTTCAGAAAGGGTGACCAGAACTGCATGCACTACTCAAGATTTGTGTAGTACCATTATATTTTCGGTTGTATCAATCCTGTCCTTAATGTTTCCTAAAATTCAACTTTTTTGACTGCTACTACATATTGAGTGGATGTGTTTAGAGACCTATGTGACTCCTAGACCTTTCTTGAGTAATAATAGCTAATGTAAACCACATCGTTTTGTATGTGTAGTCAGGATTATAGTCTCCAAAGTATCTTACTTTGCAATTAGCAATATTAATTTTGTTTTCCATTTTATTGCCTAGTCATCAAGTTTTAGGGTGAACATATTTCCATTTGCTGAATATGGGACACCTGGTAAAATTATTCTTATTCAAGAAAGTTCAATGGCAAACATTCAGAACTATACATTACAAACATTCAAATTAACAAAATTAAATAAATGCTGCATAGTTGGATCCTTTTTATTTACCTCCTTATCTTTAAGACATTATGGTTCACATGGGGATAGGTCATACACATACCTCTGTATACTTCTCTTGTGCTGGGGTGGAGGTGATCACAGATCAACCCAACCCTCTCCACTCTACATGCGTGGCTGGGCTTCTGAGACAGACCCACCTCTCCTAGTACCTGTCACAGTGACTTCCCAAGGCAACTTCAGGGGAGGAAGGAGGAAATGTAAGATCACATCCCCCACCTCTGATTTATGCTAGAATGTGGCCAGCAGCAGACTTTTGGCACTGTTCAGCATGGAAGAGACAGGCGTGGCTTCTATCTATAGGGGAGGAGTAATTGGGGAAGGGAGACATGGTCTGTGTCTTTGCAGAGCTCATTCCTCCCTGTCGTCATAGTGCCAAACAACAGCTAAATCCTCTAGGCTGCTTCTGGCCACTAACATAACCCAGATGCTGCCTGTCCTGAAGCGTAGGCAGGAATGGGTTAAACCCTAAAGATGCAGTGTGCACCAGGGCCCAGTGAACCTGACTGCAGGAGTTTCAGCAGCCACAGAGCCTGGCCACAGAGGTGACTCAGCAGTAGAGAGTGAATAGAGAATGAGTTCCATGCTCCTTGTCAGCAGACCCACGATTGGTGGGGGGAGGTAGAAGGGACATAGGTTGTGTCTAGACAGAGAGATGTAGATTAGGCACGTCAAAATTGCTAATGAAGCAGGGATTTAAATATCCCGTGCTTCATTAGCATAAACATGGACACCACTTTTTTTCGAAACGGAGCTTTTTTTTTTTTAAAAAAATGGCAGTCTAAATGTGGATCTGTCGAAAATAAACCCTTTTTTGACAGATCCTGTAAACCTCATTTTTTGAGGAATACAGGATCTGTCGAAAAAGGTTTTTTTTTTCGACAGATCTGCAGCTAGATTGCCGTTTTTTTCCTAAAAAGCTCCATTTTGAAAAAAAGCAGCAGGCATGTTTATGCTAATAAAGTGCAGGATATTCAAATCCCTGTTTCATTAGCAGTTTCAACATGCTTTATTTGCATCCCTCTGTTGACAGAGGGAGGCAGTTTAGACGTAGCCAAAGAGAGCTAGGCTCTTGCCTGGTGGGCTGCTGTAGAGCCTGTAGGGGTGAGAACATGCTGGAAATTTTTTCCCCCCTCCACCACTCCAGAGCTTAGCTGAGGTCTGGAGAGGCTTCCTGTGCCAGTGCTGTGCAAGGCTTTGGCATATGCAGGGCTCTACTCCTTCTGCCCAGCACCCCAGGCTGGAGGGTCTTGGACTTTCCCAGGATGCCAACCCAGCCAGAGGCAGCGGAGAAAGGAGAGCTCTTTCCAGGCAGGCTATTAGTGACCGGAATGCTCCAAATAGGGTCTGGTTCTCCACACAGTGCTGGGGATAGAACACATGCCACTGGGGGGACATGGAGGAAAAGCAGGACTGGGGGTGTAAAGAGGCAAAGCAAGAGGAGCAGCATATGTAGGGCCAATGGGTGGGCAGCAGAGGCAACACATAACTGGCCAACACCAGCCACTGCAGCTCGCAGTTACTGCTGGCTAGAAATGGGAAGGGAGTGAGACTCTTCTGGCTTAGAGACATCAAGCTTCCGGGGCTGATGGATTAGCAGGGAAAGCGACTGGTCCCACGTGCTGTATCTTTGCCTCACCACCAGTCTTTTATACCCACTTTCATTGTCTGCCACTGGATCCACTTCACTCACTGCTGGTGAACAGGTGGCTGAAAAACAAGGATCCAGCCAGAAGCAGAACCTGCCAATATTGATGGTCAGGAAACAGAAAATATGGCACAATTTGCCTGTTTATAAGAAAAAATCAGGACACTTTCAGAAAGGCTTAAAGGACTATCCCTTTAAAAATAGGACAACTGGTCACTCTAACCAGTTCAGTGAGATGTCTTTGTACCTCTTTTGTCAGCTATAGTTTTAATTATCTTGAGTAACTTTGTGTCCTCTGCAAATTTGTACACTTCACTATTTATCACCATTTACAGATAAATTTTGTGTAAGTTGAACGGTACTGGTCCCCAAACAGATTGATGGTGGATGTCTGCTATTTACCTCTCCATTCTGAAAACTGAGCATTTATTTGTACACTTAGCAACTTAAAATATATGACACATATCCATGAGAAGACATTCTCTTTTACTCCATGACTGCTTATTTTGATTAAAGGTCTTTTGTGTAGGACCTTGTTAGTCTTTCTGAGTGCTACATCGCCTCGATAACTCTTGTCCATATGCTTCTTGATAACCTCAAAGAATGTTAATAGATTGATAAGGTATATTTTCCCTTTACAAATACCATGTTGACTCTTCCCCCCAACATATCATGTTACTCTGTGTCTGATAGTTCTGGTCTTTATGGTTTCAAAAAATTTGCTGTTGGCAATTGAATCATGATAAAATATTGCAGGGCAAATCAATTCAGCAACCAATTCCACGATCTCCGCACTAGGCACAGGAAAGTGGCCGGCTAGGGCAGGAGAGCTGCCAGCCTGGCCACCCCGGAGCAGGGGTGCATGAAAATCAACGTGGTCCACTGAGACCCCCGACCCTGAGCCCTGAGCTTACAATGACCGTCCTGGGTCAGACCAAAGGTCCATCTAGCCCAGGAGCCTGTCTGCCGACAGCGGCCAACCCTAGGGACCCTGGAAGGGATGGACCGAAGACAGTGACCAAGCCATTTCTCTCGT